TATCTTAAGTTGGGCTCTTTCTGTCTTTCATCTACAATAAGGGCTCTAAGTTCCTCGAGGACATCCCGTGCCTAGACGAAATGTAAAATTGAACCTTTTCAAGACTGGAGATTACCCGAAAGCTACTTACTCCATTCTTTCAGCAAAAGTTTAAGGAGTTGGAGCTTGCATTGGAGTAAGAAACCAGCCCTCCTCGAAACGAGGGAAGAGCCCACCAAAGTGGAATCAGGTAAAGGAAGTTGGGTTCTTCTAGCCATGCCAGCTCAAATCGAAAGGGTTTGAACTTTGGGGCCTGGTTGGGTGTTGAGAAGGATATGACAATGGTCCAAAGTGGGTTTGGGAAGGGCTAAGGTATGGGATCCGGGGAACAAGGAATCCCATTATGTGCTAAGCAAACAACGGTTGAGGTTAGAGAGGGAGAGGGAGAGTGGTTGGACTAGGTGTACTGGGCACCCTCTACGAGAATGTGAATGAGGTTATGTCTGGATATAGAATCTGAGAATTGGGTAATTCCCATGGTCACTCTTAAGAGGGAGTTATGTTCAAAAGACAACCTTGTGATATTGAAGTCCTCTTTGAGACCCTACAAGGAAGGGGGTATGGGGGTCGCTTGGTTGAGTTTGGCCCAAAACTATTCCCTAAGTTTTTCTAAGTTTTTGCCGTAGACAGCCGTGAATTCCACAAGAGGCCATCTGAAATTCTTGTAAGGACCACAGTCACTGAGAAGGAAGCAACACATGAGGTAATGGAATGAAGGGAGGGGTCCCAAATGCCTTCTGAGGCTCCCATTGCAGGGAGGGCTTCCTACTGACAGGGCCTTAGGCCCCACACTTGTCGAACTAATTAGAGGGTGGGTGAGGGGAATTTACTTTCTGTGAGGCAAAGATGGTAGGGGAATGACGAATGTTGGTGTCGTGCACTACATTGTGCTTGGTCGGGTGCCTGAGGCCTCGAACATTCCAAGAATGGATCAACATGGTTAGAAAGGGAGGGGGAAGACACGTCTGGATGAACGTTGAAGAGAGGTTCCCTCTGAGGGGGCAGGGGCCGTAGGTGGACCGGCGGATAGAGACGGGAGGGCGTGCCAGTCGTAGTTAATAACGAATGCTAGGTCGAAGATTTTTTTATTGCCTTGGCTGTTTACCTGTGTTCTAGATTGAGCATCCACCTCGAGGAAAGCTTTGACAGCTTCTTGTGGACCATCAAAATGGAAAACCATCACTTTGAAAACTTGGATTACATTTCCTTGAGCTTGGAACATTTTTTCTATGTATCTAGAGTCCACTGACATGGGAGAAGAGGAGTGCTCCTACAAGAGGAGACTTTAGGTGTGTTCAGTGAGGATGCACTAGCTGGGGGAAGGGGGGGGGGGGGGGGGGTGTTGTTGGAGGAGGAGGTAGGGGTGCCACAGAGAAGGGGGTAGAGGGAAGGACGAAGAGACTAGGGGAAGGATCTGAGTCTAGGAAGGAGGTGGGAAGGGGAGGAGGGGGGGGTGGAGCTGCTAGGGGGTTGAGAAGCCTACTATGAATAACGGGAGGGGGAGGGTGATCCGAAGAGATCGACCGGCGAGCGGGGTTCTAGATGGCTAAAGCCGCTGAGAGAGCAAAGCCACTTTCATGATGATGAAGGAGGTTGGTTGCCTTCAGGAGTGGCAAAGGGAGAACGCTATCGAAATGGGTAGAAGCACTTGCATCTACATTTGGCGCCACTTGTAGTTCAAAAGATGGGAGGAGTTGTAGAGGATGCTAAGGGGGAGGGTTTGCCAAAGAAGAAAGCGCTAGATTTGCGTCTGGGGGGGGTGTGGTGTAGGGGGATCATTGAGGGGATGAGGGAGAGGTCGTCGCTGAATTGAGCTGGGTTAAGGAAGGTTTCATGAGGAGAAGACCTCTTGAAAGAGGAAAGGCGGGGGGTGGAGGAAGGCAAGGAAGAAGACAGAGGAGGGCGAGAGTTGGGGGAGAGGCCATGCGTGGAGGGATACAAGGAGGAGGCTGGTCGGGTTCCTTGGGATGGGGACTAGTTTGATGATGGGCTACAACAAGGCCAGATGGCACAAGAGCTAGACGGAAGGGGAGAGGGAGCCTGGATGACATGCTGAGGAGGGATTCAAAAGAGGGGCAGACCATGTGAAGGGGCAGTGAAGAAGGGGGGGGGGCGGGGGAAGGATGGATCACATGGGTGGGTTGAAAAATGGGTGTTGAGGGGAGAGAGAAGAAGGCGGCTTGGGGTCAGAGTTCAAGGAACACATGTCGTCCTCATGAAGGGGGGAGACCAAGGGGGACACGACGGTCTCTGGAGGAGAGAGGGAATAACAGATGACAGTCTCGGAGCAGGGCTGATGGGTTGGAAGTGTTGAATCAGCAATTTCTCTCTAGTTTTTCTCTGTGCTTGGGCATCGTCACGGGGTTTACTACCTATCGAAACGCTCGTCTCGATGAGATGCATGCTCACCAAATTTGAGAGCGATCTGACTCGGATCGAGTGAGATGTAGGCCTCGAAAGTCACAACCACCTTTAATGGTGTTTTGGTGCAGGGTGGCCACACTGGAATAGTGTGCGGCCTACCTCTTTTTGGTATTTTACCCATAAGTTTGTCTTGGAGTGCTCGATTAAGCTGGAACTTGACCTATAGGGGTTTTGATCGTGTCGGATCCAATGGAGGTGGTCCCACAACTGTTTGACGCACCAAAAATATAGTTCTAGTTACAGGGTCTATTTCAGGGTGCTAAAGGTTGATTTTGCTAAAATTGTTTCTTTGTGATCACTGCCTTAGAAATGTCTGATCGCGATGAAACTTGGCAGGTGGCCTTTTGGAGTGCTGATGAAGATGTTGACCAATTCTGGAGCCATTCCGAGACTATCAAAATTTCCACTGTTTTGTAGGCTTTATTGACCTGCTTCCTCTTTATTCCGCATCAAGGACCAAGGTGCTGAAAAATGTGTTTAAACGCCAATGAAAACCATGAGAAGACGGGAACCAAGGGCTGCTCCCCGGAGAAACAAGACGGCTCAACTGCCAGTCGAGCAGGAATTTCTCAGGCCTCTTCCCCCACTACCAACTTTATTGGACTGCATCCCTGACCCGATCATCCTTCCTTCCTCATCCCACCAAGAGGATGTCCCCAAGCCATCTTCCCCTCAGAGCATGTCCAATGAGGGTGACGACGTTAAAATCACTCCCCAATGGTTTGAGCAGGGGAAAGACCTAAAAGATTCTCTGCACACGTTCAACTCTGGTGATGACGCAAAAAGCTGTCCATAGGGAAGGATGGATCACATGGGTGGGTTGAAAAATGGGTGTTGAGGGGAGAGAGAAAAAGGTGAATTGGGGAGAGAGAAGAAGGCGGCTTGGGGTCAAAGTTCAAGGGGCACGTGTCGTCCTCATGAAGAAGGCGGGAGACCAAGGGGGACACAACAGTCTCTGGAGGAGAGAGGGAATAACAGAAGACAGTCTCGGAGCAGGGCTGATGGGTTGGAAGTGTCGAGGCTTCACTTGTGGACGTTGAGCAAGGAGGGGTGATGGCCATTCAATTGAGTCTAGGACGGTTATGGTTGGCTGAAGCCTTGCACCTGCGGATTACCGTAGTCCACTCCCTGTGATCTGAAGGAGGTTGACTACCGAGGTCTAGAGGTTGGATATGGTGGGGAGAGGGTGGTGAAGCTAGCTACCAAGCGATGAGAATCCGGTAAAAGAGGCTTTCCACTTCTATCCACAACATGGAAGGAATAGAGTTGGGGTCGAGGACCGCTATCAACAACTGAATTGATCCCATTGGAAGGTATTCTAAGGTCGTCCAATGGATGGAGATGAAGGAGGCACAAGCGTTTCCATTGAGTTTGAAAGGTTCAAGGGTCTAGGCATGGAGAGGGATTTCGAAGGCCCTCAGGTATACCTTACGAGTCTTGAAGGCTCAAAATCATGGGTCTAGGGAGCCAAGGAAAGGGAAGCTCCACGAAAGCTAGCAGAGTTAGTCTTCGCAGCTAGAAAGGCTATCAACTGAAAGGGAAGAGGAAGAGAATTCTCCTGTTCTTAAGTTTTCTACAGCAGAAATTAGGTTCACCCCGAAGCCTTTTACCCCATTTCTTGATATCACGAACGTTATCTCGACGGGCTTGGAAAGAGCCAACCAAGGAAGAGGAGGGTTCAGATTTCAAGGTGGGGTCCTCTTGACTAGGAGTGAGACGAACATTGGGTGAAGGTTTGGAAGGATTTTGGTTTGGGATAACAAGAGGGGGTAAGGATGGAAATTGGGCAATGGAGGCGGGAGGAGAGGGGTTGAGGTCAGGTCACAAGGGAGCAGTCTGATGGAGAAGAGTATGGACAGGGGGAGGCTTGACGAGATGGACATAGTTATAGCAGAGGAAGACAGTGGCCAGAGGTGGCCTATAGGGAGCCATTGGAGTCAAACTCACACCAGTTATCCTGGGTTCATAGTTAAGATTTCCTTCTAATTCTCATCTGAACTATTTAACATTTTGCATTTCAGCTTGACTTTCGTTCTTAGCTCGTTTTCATCTCTTTTTCTTTTTTTTAACAAGTCTTATATGAGAAGCATTTTCTGGTAGCCCATTTAGAGGTGCACATTTGTTGGACCCATGAAGTTTTTGTACATGGCCCTGATTGTTTTGGGGTCTCCCTGTCATACACCTTTTCACTCTCTTCTCTTACTCAATACAAAGGTTAACATATTTTAAAAAAAAGCATTTTGCCTTTGATGTAATTTGATATTTATCAATTTTCAGACTACATTCTTTTGAAAAATCATCAAAAAAATGATGGGTAAATTGGAAATTGATCAAAAAAATATGGGCAAACTGCTAGCTCAAATATTAGGTGTAGTTTGATAAATTTCCCTAAAATATATTTTTTCCAATATCCATCCTTTACTCCATGGTCTTCTTATATTTGTTCATTTTTCCTTGCCATCTTTGGTTCTTTATGATTAAGTAACTTTATGGTAACAATATTTTTGTTAAGCTAAATCCGCTTTCTTTATTTTCAGTGTTGAGAGGAAGCTGCAGAACATGGAAGGCGCCATAGCCAAAGCAAAAACATTTTCTGTGGATTGCAATAACATAGACAAAAAATTGAGACAGATTCTTGATATGACTGAGGATGAGGCTTACTTCCACAGGAAGCAGAGTGCCTTCCTCTATCAACTTGCAGTCCAGACGATGCCCAAAAGTATTCACTGTTTATCAATGAGATTAACTGTGGAGTTTTTCAAAACCGAACCACCTGATGAGGAGCCCTTTCTAACCAACGGATATGATGGGCCATCAGACTCATACCATTATGTCATTTTCTCCAACAATATACTTGCTTCATCTGTTGTTATCAACTCAACTGTCGCGCATGCCAAGGTATGGGCTGCATATATCTTCTGCAACTTTTTGGTGGTACCTGTGTGTGAGACTCTTGTTTTTCAGAATTTTGTATTCTCAGTCCCTGTTGGACTCTATGCTCAGATGGGTTTGATCTGATTTGTGTGGTATTGCGGCTCACTGGAACAGGAAAGTGTGAAACTGGTTTTCCATATAATAACAGATGGGCAGAATTATGTTGCCATGAGACAATGGTTTTCAAGAAGCCCTTATGCATTTGCCACCGTTCACATCCAAAACATAGAAGACCTGAATCTTGATTCCTTTGGAAGTTCAGAGCCTCCCCATCTCTCATCGTCTGAGGAGTTCCGAGTTTCCATTCTTCGAGGAGGCTCATCCTCCTTGTCTCCAATGAGACCCAGATATTTGTCTCTATTCAGCCATACCCACTTTTATCTTCCCCAGATATTCCCTGACCTGCCGAAGGTGGTAGTTTTGGGTGATGATGTGGTTGTCCAGAGAGACCTCTCAGCTTTATGGAACCTCAATTTGGGAGGGAAAGTTATGGGTGCTGTGGACTACTGCCAAGTGAGGCTTGGTACCCTGAAGGGTTTCCTCGGTTCCAGTCAATTTGATGACAATGCATGTGCTTGGATTTCGGGATTGAACATAATTGATTTGGAGAGGTGGAGGGAGCAAAATCTCACAGGGACTTATAGAAGGTGGCTTCAATCGGTGAGTACTTTAGGAACTCTCTTTGTTTATAATAACATAGATAAATTACTGTACATAGGCTATCAATTTCTGATTTTTTTTTTTGCCGTGTGTTAGAATTGCTTTACAATGCACTTTTTCTGTTTGTTGGGTAAGTGGCACTTTAGTTCATACGAATAAAATGTGTGTTGCAACGATGTGTGAAAATCCATAATGAAAAGATTTGTTTTTCCTTTTTTGAGAGCTAAAAGAAAAGAAACAGTGGCAACATGTGAAATCATCTGCAGAGGGACTAATAGAACTCTCTACTAATGGAACTTATTATAATCATGTTTTTCAACATTAAGGAGATCTTGTTAACCCTAACCCTTAGTTGGTTTTTAACGGGAAAAAGAGATAAGCTGTTTAACAAAGCTTCATAAAGAGGATCAAGTATATATCTTTTTTTTTTTTCCGATAAGTTGGACTTAAACATGTATCTTGAGAGGGATATAAGATGTATGTTTAACTTTATGTGCCAAGACTCTAGACTACACCTTGAAATTTGCAAAACTAATCAAGAAACTATAGTACTTGCAGTTTGGCCTATTATTTAACACATTTATTGGTATAACTTGGACAGCAGAGTGGGAAGGGGCCGGGGTGGAGGGCTGGGGCATTACCTGCAAGTTTAATCACATTCTATGACATGACTTACAGTCTTGACAATTCATGGCTTGTTTCTGGGTTAGGGCATGACTATGGGATTGACAAAGAAGTCATAAAGAGATCAGCTGTGTTGCATTACAATGGCATCATGAAGCCATGGCTGGAGCTGGCCATTCCAAGCTACAAAAGGTATTGGAGAAAGTATTTGAAGCGAGACGAGCAGTTCATGAATGAGTGTAATGTCAACCGATAACGGATGAGAGGAAGGGGAGAGTGAAGTGAGAGAGGGAGAGAGGTAGATGGTGCATGGGCAAATTGCCTGCCAGATACCACATTTTCATGTATTCTTTTTTCCCAGATCAGGAGATCTGGTTCAATTCAATTTTATTCTTGAGAGGAAAAGAGGAGATGCCTCCATAATAAAGGGCCATTATTGGTATCATCTTTGTGCTTGAAGAGAAGATTCAGAGGGTGGTTCATTGCAACGTAGCTGCGTGCTGCTGAGTTGAAAAAAGGTCCTTGACACAAAAGATTTGAAATGGAATGGATGGTTGCTCCTTTCTCGTTTTGTTGCTTTGGCAGCAATGTAAAACAAAAACTGTATAGAGGTAGGTAAACCTTGCCTGGTTAAAACTGGCAATGCGGATGAATAGGGATGTCTTTCTATGATGTATGAACGGGTTGGTATTATTAGCATTTGCAACTCCAGGGGAATCGCCTTTGTTCTCCTGCTGGAAGGACTCCTGTTGATGACTTTGTTTCTTGATTGATTGGTTTTAACATGTGAGTGCAATTCTTTGTTTCTTGATTGATTGGTTTTAACAAGTGAGTGCAATTCTGTTCTTCGCCACCCAACCCACCCAATAGACTCTCTCTCTCTCTCTCTCTCTCTCTCTCTCTCT